ACTCTTGCATGGCAGGGGATACGCTAGTAAAATAATAATAAAAAAATAAGTTGAAGCAAATGAAGCAGATGTCATGCTTAATTACGAAAAAAGACTTGTCGTTGTGACTTACTGTATCCACTTCGAACTTCTTGTCCAGCTTGATGCTGAAGCGCCTATCATCATCTAGGAAGATTCCGTCGCACAGGCCGCTCTCGTCTTCGCAGTATTTGCAAATACCGAAATCCTTCTCATCGTCAGACATTTCCTATGTTCATAGTTAAAACATTAATTGAAAATCGATCGAAGACAACTACCAAGATACTCAACACACAAATCCGGGGCACTCGATATTTCCTACATATTCTAGCACAAGTCATGCCAAAATTCACGGAAAAATCCGGCATGACCTTTGCTAAAATAGGACATATCGAGCGCCTGAAATTTGCCGGAACGGAAATGAATCAACACTCCGGCAAAACATGGGCCACTCGAAGGTGTAACCTGCAAACATGACCGACCACTTGGATATTAAGCAACACAAGATATACATTTCAAAATATCTTATAGGACTCAAATTAGCATGCATTCAATAAGCAAAAGTAGATCATCTCATGCGTCGGTACATCGTCGAATATTATCACTAATACATCACGAATAGTGTCATACATATAACATCACTAATACAACTAAAACTCTAGCACACGACAGGTATCGGCGCGGGCGGTGGACACCCACAGAGAAGGCACCATCACGGGATCATAGCTCTAGTGAGATCCCCGGAGAACCTGCCAGGTATTGGAGAACGGCCTGTGCTCCAACGCAAACAAGTAGCGACGGACGTGCGCGTCCTCCTCACTGACACGGTGACGCACCACCTCCGCGGAGTCCTCGAGCCTCTGGATCATCACTGGCCCACGCGACCGCCACCAAAGAAGGTTCGGGTCAACGACAGGCTGGCTCCTCACCAACCTGCGCCCCCCGGTAGGTAGTGCCTCCCAGTACCACCCCGGCGGAGCCCAGTCCCGGACATGGCCGATCTGGTCAAGCAGGTGTCGTCCTCCGCCGACTCGACGACGAGGATGCGGGATAGGCATCGTCCACGTCGAGGCGGGAAAAATTGCTTTAACTAAAAAATCACCTAATTAGTACCTAGTTCTTACTAACTAAATAGAAGAAGGTCAAATTTTACTCGTTTTATTATGCATTACACTAGTGTTTATTCATCATCTAAGAAAACATCACCTAAGAAAAAATCCCAGCCGCATCTGTATCCAATTCATTTCCACCCATAGATGAACCCTAACTATTTGACGCAACTAAAATTTGAAGAACCCTATCTAGGCAGAGGTAGGGGAGGGGGAGGAGCAGGCGTGCTCACCTCGATCGGGTGCCTGCGGCGAGAGAGGGGCAGGCGGCGTCGAGGTCGGGCTTGGGGCGGGGCGGCGTCCGGGGCGGCGTTGAGGTCGGGGGCGGCGTCCGGGGCGGCGTTGAGGTCGGGGGCGGGGGCGGCGTTGAATCCGGGGTCGGGGGCGGCGTAGAGGGTGTGCGGAGAGCGTGCGGCGACCGACGGGCGACGGCGGCGGCGAGAGCGGAGGAGTTCGATTTGGAGGAAGTGGCCATGGGGAAGGACGAACGTGGTGGTTAAGTCAGAAGTAGCAGTAGCTCCTTCTTGAAAGCGCACTGCTGCTACGTTAGCTACAGCGCGTTCTGGGATACGCGCTACTGCTACTACTTTCTCCTTTTTCCCTTTTTCATTTATTTTTCTTCACATTTTATTTTTTTCCTTTCACCTTCTTCTATTTCTTTCATTTTCAATTACCTTTCTATTTGCTTTTCATTTAATTTTATATCCTTTAGTAGTAGCGAGTTTAGAGCAAAACGCGCTGCTACAAAGAAAGTAGCAGTAGCGCGGTTCCATATAGATCGCTACTACTATGTGTACCATATCGGCTAAGCTGTGAGAATTTTAGTAGTAACGTGTATTCACCGAGACGCGCGCTACTGCTACGACACTATCTGCAGCGCGGTTTCGGCAGGCGCGCTGCTGCTATTTAGCACCAGCGTGCTTCTTTGACCCACGCTACTGCTAAAGTTCTGTGTATAAGGTTTTCCCAAGTAGTGTACTTACCTTGAGGTGCTTGAGCAATTTTACCTGAAGAGACAAACTTGAGAAAATAAGGTTAGATAAGATAAGAGAATCTCTTCACAAAGAATGCACGAACATCAAGAGTACCAAGATTGGGATGACATGTAAAGGGATTAGTATCACTAAGTGAATACTTCCTTAGGAGCAGACATGTCCCCAAGAGGTCAAATAAAGATTTTGTCAATCTAATTGAAATGAGTCATTTCTAGTGAAGATGAAAAGGTTGAGAGAGATGACCTTCGAGGACTATTCGTCATCGGAGGAGGAACAAAATGACAATGAGTTCGAAATGATCGTTGACATGAACTTCAATGATGATTTTTTGGGGTCGAGAAGAGGATCACAAATTCACAATACGGCTGCATACACATCTTTTTTTTGTGAGAAGGTCGCATACACATCAACCGAGAGACAGTGGAGGGCCATGCCAAGATTATGAGAGATTATTTCGGCCCCAATCCAACCTAGAAGTATTTCGCTGGTGATTTCAGATGCACATAAGTCTCTTTCTCAGCATTGCAAAAGTCGTGGTGAAGCATGATGATTGGTTCGAACTCAGGAGGAGTACATCCGAAGAGATAAAAGTGTGAGCCCTTTGATAAAATGTATAGCGGTTGTTCTGAGTGCTCTCCTATGGGTGTACGACCGACGCCTTTGATGACTATGTCCGCGTTGGAGAAGATACAATCTTGGAGAGCGTCAAAAAATACACAAAAGTCGCGATTGATATCTTTGGGCCGGAGTACTTGACGAAACCCAACGATGAAGACGCCGAGAGGTAGTTGGCATTGAGTGAAGAACGCGGGTGGCCTGCGACGCTTGGATCATGACTGCATGCACTGGACATGGAAAGAGCTGTCCTGCTGGGTTGAAAGGCCGGTACAAAGGCCACTACAACAACCTGACAACCATTCTTGGGGCTGTTGCATTGGAGGATCTATAAATTTGCCATTCATTTTTTGGATTGTCTGACTCTCATGATGATTTGAAATGTACTTTCGAGATCACCAGGCTTGTCGCCTCCTCCTTGCAACCATGGCACCATTTTGAATGTGATCGCAACAAAACAAAAACAAAAAAAGAACATCATTTCTTGTTGACTGGGCACGATGATATGGTGTACTTTCTCCGTCCGATAATATAAGATCGTTTTATATGCTCTTGTTATCTTGAGAAATGAACTTACATTATGGGACGAAGGGAGTGATGTATAATTATTAAGAAGGAAATGAAAAGGAGCTAATATACAATAATCCCCCTTGAAGGAAAGAAAAACAAACGAGCTATGATCGAGCCTCGCTACGTGCGTGCCGATCCAACCAGAACTGGAAAAAATCGAACCGACCCAGTACTTGGACGGACGAGATGCAGATGGTAACGCTCGCGGCTGTCCACCCTGGCGCCAGGATCGTTTGTGCATCGCTCGCTCGCTTGCCTTCCTTTCGCTTTGCTTAGTCCTTACCTTGTCAGTTGGAAATACAACTCACCCCATGGCTCTTACAAGGACTACACATGCAATGCACCCCAAGGAACCACCATAAGACTAGACCTAAAACAACCATCTTTCAGATGTACATTCGCCCCGCGGCATAACACCAAGGATCATGCAAGATCACAGAATATGAGGCTAGATATAGACAATCGACTTCAAGAGATGAAACGATCGACATGCCGAAAACTACACGCCAGAGAACTGCAAAAGAAAACTCAAGGTAGAACCGATGATCTAAGAAGAAGTTGCGCGGGAAATCAGCCACTGATCGAAGGAGTCGAGGCGTCAATATATGTGATCGACACCTGGACTTGCCACCTGATCGACATAGTGGAAGCCATGAATGAATGGAAGGGGGGGGCAGCCTTACACTAATTGCCAAGCATTAGGGGGGAACACTAACTATTGGCATGTAATGGAATTTTGAATAGTATACACAAAATTTTCTCAATCTTGGAGGGGGCCATTGCCTCCCACCTCCCCGCCCTCACTGGTGCTTCATTTTAGCACAAAGAGGCGCTGGCGTACGCCTCGTCGGGCGACCCCTGCGTCGACTTCTTCTTCCAGGTCGTGCCCGGCGCGACCGCGCCCGCCGACGTGGCCGCGCTGCTCGGCGTCGCGTGGGCCGCCGACGCGCGCACGGCGCTGCGCCTCGTCTGCCACCTCCGCGGCGTGCGCGGCCTCGGCAAGGCCGACCGCGAGGGCTTCTACGCCGCCGCGCTCTGGATGCACGCCAACCACCCGCGCACCCTCGCCGCCAACCTCGGGGGATTCGCCCGCTTCGGCTGCCTCAAGGACCTCCCCGAGATCCTCTACCGCGTCCTCCACGGCCCCCGCGACGAGCGCAAGGACCAGGACGACGTCGCCGCAGCCGCCATCCAGTACCGCCGCGGCGGGCCCGGGAGCAAGAGCGGCAAGCGGCGCTGCGTCGGCGGCGGCAGGGAGGCTGCCAAGGCCCGGCGCGAGAAGGAGGCGGAGCACGCGCAGGCCGTGCTCGCGCGCTACGACTCCGACGAGGCCTTCCGCAGCCTCTACGACGGCGTCGCCGACCTCTTCGCCGGGCTGCTCAAGTCGGACCTGGAGCACCTGCGCGCGGGCGACACGGCCAAGATCGGGCTCGCCGCCAAGTGGTGCCCGTCGCTCCGCTCGTCGTACGACCGCGCCACGCTGCTCTGCGAGGCCATCGCGCGCCGCGTCTTCCCGCGCGACTCGAGCCCCGAGTACCTCGCCATCCCCGACAAGCACTACGCCTACCGCGTCCGCAGCCGGCTCCGGCGCGAGGTGCAGGTGCCGCTGCGCAAGGTGCTCGAGCTCCCCGAGGTCTACATGAGCGCCCGCAAGTGGGACGAGCTGCCCTAGGCGCGCGTTGCGTCCACGGCCATGCGCCAGTACAAGGAGGCGTTCGAGAAGCACGACAAGGAGGGCGTGGCCGGCTTCTACGACGAGGTGCGCGCCGGGTTCTCCACGATCCCCGCCGACGCGGTGCTCCCGCACGTGATCGTCGCCGCCGCGCTCAAGGGCGAGCACGACGAGTCGGCGGAGCTCCAGTGGCGCCGCATGGTCTCCTCCCTCGCCTCGGAGGGCCGCCTCACCAACTGCATCGCCATGTGCGCGCTGTCCGGCTGCACGTCGGACAAGCCGCCCGCCGCGGCCGCCATCGCGCTGGGGCTGCTCATCTCGGAGCTCAGCCAGGACCCCTGGAAGGGGCGCGTCATCACCTTCGACGCCGCCCACCAGCTGCACAAGGTGCGCGGCGCGTCGCTGGTGGAGAAGCTGCGCCCGCTCGCCGCCGTGACCCCGCGGCGCGGCGCCAACCTGCAGGCGGTGTTCAGCAAGATCCTGAACGTGGCGGTGGCGGGCGCGCTGGCCAAGGACCAGATGGTGCGGCGCGTCTTCGTGCTGAGCGACATGGAGTTCGACGGGTGGACGGGCGGCGAGGCGTGGGTGTCGGAGCACGAGGCCATCCGCAAGCGCTTCGCCGCCGAGGGCTTCGCCGCGCCCGAGGTGGTGTTCTGGAACGTGGGGAGCACGTCCAAGGCGGCGGCGTCGCCGGTGGTGGCCGCGCAGGCCGGCGTGGCGCTGGTCAGCGGCTACTCCAAGAACCTGGTGCGCCTCTTCCTGGAGGCCGACGGCGTGCTCACCCCCTCCGCCATCATGGCCGACGCCATCTCCGGCCCCGACTACGACGCCCTCCACGTGCTCGACTGATTACCCTTCTTGGATCCCCAGCCCAGCCAGCCAGCCATGATCGTCAGTCCATCCATCGATTTAGTTTGCTTTTTCGTCCCGCCCATCGATTTAGGTGAAATCTACTACTACTATCTGAAGCTGTCAACCTTAGGAAGAAAATACTTGGAGTTGTGAATCAAGTGCATGCATGCAGTGCCAGTTTATCTGAACGATGATGAATTTGCTGATGAGTGTATAGAGAATGTTAAAATTTACAAATAAAATTTTAGAACATGTTAAATAAACATTTGAAAAATGTTAAATGTGTATAGAGAAAATATTTACAATGTGTATGAAAAAAGTTGGTCATGTATTTTAAAAAAATTAGTCAAGGATTAAAAAATAAGAAATAAATTTTAGAAATCCTCACGAAGAATTAGAAAACTGTAAATTGTGTGAGAAAAATGGTTGTCATGTATACAAAAATATATATAAAAAATACAATGTGTATGAAAAAATGTTGATCTTGTATTTTTCTAAACGTGTATAAAGAATTGTTGCTGGTGTATAAAATAATGTACATTGTGTGTGAAAAATGTTTATTTCATTTTGAAAAATATTCGCCGTGTATTGAAAATTGTTAGCCATGTATTAAAAAATTAATCTTGTATTTTAAATATAGTAACCTGTATATAAAAAATGTACTAGATGTATACCAGAAATGTACAACAAAATAAAAATAGTTTTTAAAAAACGTTAATCATGTATTTAAAAAATATTAAATGTGTATGTAAAATATGTGTATGATGTATACGACGAATGTAGAATGTGTAATTTTGGGTAGCTAGATCCCGAGGGCATGTACAATTGTCGATAAGGTAGTCTTATCTTAAATCTTGCATGTAATTTAGAGATGACAAAAAAACATGTCTACAATGGGTCATCTCTTAGCTTTATCTTAAAAAAACATGACAAAAAAACATGTCTACAATTTATCTACATAAGAGAACGTTAATCTTGCATGTAATTAAAAGAAGGCAAGAGATGATCTCTTAGCAAAATTTTAAAACATGTTAAATAAACATTTGAAAAATGTTAAATGTGTATAGAGAAAATATTTACAATGTGTATGAAAAAAGTTGGTCATGTATTTTTTAAAAAATTAATCAAGGATTAAAAAATAAGAAATAAATTTTAGAAATCCTCACGAAGAATTAGAAAACTGTTAATTGTGTGAGACATATTGTGCTAAGGGATCATCTCTTGCCTTCTTTTAATTAAGAGAAGACAAGCCTTCTCTTATGATTTCTCTCTCCTTCACCTCATCATTTATCCTATGTGGCATTACTAAGATAGAACCATTGTACATGCCCTGAGCCTACGTGCACTGCGACGCTTCCTGTAGTAATTTTAGAGATACAAGGGCGACTGATGGGGCGAGATATTAGAACTTGGTTGTGCACCTCCCGCTCACCTTCGGGCCCAGTCTTGTAAGCACAACACATGGCAACAATGGTTAGTAAACTCGTACATGAAAACGTAGTACTATTTTGACGTAACCTAGAATTAACGACTTCGAATCGTTCATAGGGAGTAGCGATAGACTGCAGGTATAGTAGGAGATATCGATTCACTTTAATTGGTATAGATAATGATTTTCAAATCCTTTTACTTAATTTGGAGAGGGAATAATATTTTCCCTCCTCATGATGGATATGAAATATTTTCATATGGTCAGGTCACAACCATTTATTACTGCGTATCTTTTTTATAAAAAGATAACTTGGGGTTAGTGCACCTTGGGGTGTCACCGTCTGTATTGATCGAGGCTAAATAGCCGGTGTTACAACAGAGTGGAGAAGAACGTGGGGTTATTAGTGCATGAGCAGGTGCATGCATACGTGGGAGAAGAGAAGTTACAGTCAACAGTAACCTATGGAGCAGTGATAAAGTGCAGATACGGTAGGAGAAATCTATTCATTATAATACGTATATATTTTGATTTACAAATCCTTTTATTTAACTTATGCAGAAATAATATTTGCGCTCCTCGTGAAGGATATGAAATATTTTCAAGTGGTTAGGTCACAACCATTTATTACTGCATATCTTTTCACAAAAATATTGACTTTCAAATCCATTTATGACTGCGTATCTTTCCACAACCGTGTGTGACTTGAGGACACTGATCTCAGAAGATTCTCCTTTATGTAGGGGCATACTGTGTATATAAATACTTCTGAATCATATGGTAGAACACAACACAATCAAGCACAAAATAAGAGCAAACCTCTCTGTCAATAGAAATGGCCCTGTTAGCTAGTTCCACCCTCATAGCCATTACCCTCCTCGTTGTCATTCCCTCCACTCTCGCCGATGCCAAATTCATCTCCGAAGTATGCGACGGCATTAGTGACCGTCCCGACTGCGTGGAGGTGCTCAGCTCCGACCCACGGAGCGTGAATGCGACCACCAGGGAAGAGCTCCAAAGCATCTCACTGGACATCTGCACTGCTGCCGCCAGGGAAGGCGAAAAGACCTGCGAGGAAGAGAAGGCCAAGCACGAGCACGAGCGCGATGAGAAACTGGGGTTGGCACTGAACATGTGCAGCAGCGAATACAACCAAGCCGGCCATACCCTCGAGAACGCACGCACGGACTTCGGCAACCATGCTTACAACGAAGCGGCACGAAAGATTGGCGAGGCTAGCTTAGCCGCAGATAATTGCGAGAAGGCGTTTTATAATCAGGGGGCGAACAACGTCATGAAACAAATGAACAAGAAAATGTATGATCGGTGCGACATCTGCTGGCAGCTTATATTTTGATGTTGATAACAACACGACATATAGGGGACTAATCATGTTTGTTAAGTATATCATAGATTTTTAGTCCATTTGGAAACATACATGTGTGTGGATCATGGACCCACTTTATCTGATATTGCTCAAGAACGGATAAACAAAGATATAAAGCGTATTGTTTTGTTCTTGCATATATGGATCCTGTTAGGAATAGCAACTTGATATTATGGAGGCCAAAACTATCATATACTTCCTTCATTCCAAAATAGATAACTCAAGTTAGTACAAAGTTGAGTCATCTATTTTAGAACGGAGGGAGTGCAAAATACATACCACTAATAGAAAACCCCTTTATAGGATTTTCTCTACATGCCGCGTTTCGAAACAACTGAACGCGGCAACTATTTTTCCTAACTATCAACTGCGTTCAGGCCCAGGTTGAACGTCGTTGATATCCTAGTACTCCCTCCTTCCCCAAATCTTGGGCGCGCAAGTCTTTGCTTGCGCTCCCATAATCTAAGGCGCAGATGCCTTTTTCTCTCCCACTCGGTTACAACCTCCACTGACGATCGCTATTTTGCTGCAAAGGGAAAAAAACTCTGGCTGGACCTCTTGTGGATGCCTATCTCTCTACAGCACGTACAATAGGTCAGGTAAGGATCAAGACGCGCTAATTTTCGTGCTAAGAACCAACACGCCTAAGAACCAAACGCCGCAAGTACTTAGCACTCTGCAGCCTCGCCGGCCAGTGAGCCATGCACTAACCCACTAGCTCAACTAACCACCATGCACTAACTAATCACTAGCTATATGCACGGCCATGCCCACCACTTGTATGGATCCGGCTTGCCTGCTCCCTCCCCATGCTCCCATGCG